GGCGCCCGCCACAACGCCTGGCTATTTTTTGCTTGCAGCCGTCATTGTTGTTTGAATCCAGCCTGGGATTCAAACCCGCCACCTTGGGTGTACATGGCTGGCACCTTAGCCACTTGAGCCACAGGTGCCCGAGTCTCACTTTTTCATATTTATTCAACTTTAGAGTATTTATCTGCTGACACTCTAAGTATTATGAAGCTTTGCCCATTATTTCCTAGGTGTTCCTCTCATTCAGGGCTCTACAGAAATGAAGACAGGGAAAAAAGATTGAACTACACTCTTGAATGTAAAGAAATATAAAATAAAATAAATTTAAAAAAAGAAACATGAAATAGATTTGTGATTTTCTTTTTTAACTGAAAGTAAAGGCAACCACTCACCTTGTTTTCTTTATTAAGTATCTCGACAGCTAATTTGGCAGCAGCGTTTTTCGCTTCCTTCTTTGTTTTACCTTCAGCTTCTGGAAATTCTCTCTCATCTATTATAACTTGAAATGTAAACCTGATTACAAAGAGAATATTCACAAAATTTTATATAACTCATGCACCATCTAAGGACAAGTGCTCTAATCACCACTTCCTCCCATGCTTACCTTTGAGGACTGGAAACTGTTCACTATGTTCAAATATAATTTAAGCACTCGCCCAAAACATCTTCTCAAAGCATAGAGAGGCTTCTACCCCTTTTTTCCTCCGGAGTCATCTGGGGTTACCACTTTATGCCAAAAGGACTCTCACAGAAATTTCTGACAACTTTGCTATAGGGCTAAAGTATTGACCTCAAAATTGTGCCCTTGGGCTAAACTATTAACTTCAAAATTGTCCCCTAGCTGGTCCATATTCCCCTTTTTAAAAATTTCAGAATATTACATGAGTACAAATGTTGTGTTTATATGAATTGCCTTGACACAGCTGAGTCAAAGGTGTAAGTGTGCCCCTCACCTGGGTAGCGTGCATTGTACCTGTTAGGTGGGAATTTGCCCCTCCCCTGGCGCCCCCTCCACCTACTTATTTTCCATTGAGTTTTACTACCAAATGTACATGTGCGTGTTGATAAATTATTTCCAGCTTAATAGTGAGTATATGTGGCGTGGGTGCAGGTAGGAAGGAACTTGTACACTGTCAGTAGGATTGCAAACTAGTACCATACAACCTCTATGGGGAGTACGAAGATTCCTTAAAGAATTAAAAGTAGACCTACTACCAGGCGTGGTGGCTCACGCCTTAATCCCAGCACTGTGGGAGGCTGAGGAGGGAAAATTGCTTGAGCTCAGAAGTTCGAGATTGCCTGAGTGAGAGTGAGACCCCAACTCCTAAAAAATGGAAAAACCCAGCCAGGCATGGGGGCAAGCACCTGTAATCCCAGAGGCTTCCACAGGCTGAGGCCACGGGATGCCCAGAGACCAAGTCTGAGGTTGCAGTGAGCTATGACATCATTGTACTCTGCTCAGGGCATAGGGTGGGACTCTCTCTCAAAAACAACCACAAAAAATAAATAAATAAAAATAAAAGTAGACCTATCTTTTGATCCAGCAATTCCACTGTTGGGTATTTACCCAAAGGGAAAAAAATGTTGTTTTATCAAAAAGACGCATGCACTCAAATGTTTACTGCAGCACAGTTCACAGTCACAAAAATGTGGAACCAAACCAAAAGCCCATAAATACAAGTGTGGATTAATAAAATGTGGTATGTGTATACCATGGCCTACTACTCAGCCATAAAAAGTGGTAAACTAATACCTTTTGCAACAACTCGGATAGAACTGGACATCATTAGTCTAAGTGAAGGTTCACAACAATCCAAAAAGAAACCCCATACCCTTTTTAGAGCACTTTACCTTAGGTTATGGGCAGGTCCTGACTTAGTCACTTCACGATACTCAAGTACCACATTCTCTCTCTGACGGTATTTATTAAGTTCTTCCATGAAGTAACCTGGTATACTGTTTGATGGAGTATCACTGGCCATTTCTTCTTCCAGTAGTAACCTACAGTAGAAGAGATACATGTATTTGAATGAATGATACTTACAGAACATTTTTAATTTTATATTTTTCCAATCTAGTTTAGGAGACAAAGGGGGGTGGGAGGAGACTCTCCTTTATATGACTCGTTTCAGCCCCAAAGAAATTCAGAGACTGTTTTTCAAAACCAACCTTCTTCTCTCATGGACTGCATAATAAAGCTGATGTCTCCCCAAATTTTCTACTTTCAAAACTTTACTGGCCAGTGAAAGAATGGGGCCCTTCACCTTAACTCTGCTTTCTGCTTTCACTGAGTGTCAAGTACAATTTTGACCACCTGCTTGAGAAGGGAAAAAGGTTACAAGAGTACAATTAGAATTGTTTATGTTAAGAAGAAAAAGGTTTGGAGTATACATAAGTGAAACTTATGAATAAATGAAGGATTTAACAATATAGAAATAGATTCTCCTGAGAAATACCAAAAAAGCCCCCCTGAAATTTGCAAAAATCAATTTTAGGATAATGTAAACCACAAGTAAATTAAGACCCTACTTCACAGATCTCACTGGACCAAGACAGTGTCAATAAATTACAAACAAAATGTGAAGGATATAAAATCTAAATGGAAGAGTCCCAACTATAAAACTTTTTGCAGAAAACATAAAAATCTTCATGACTTTGAAATTAGAGATGAAATCTTAGATATGACAGAAGACATACAAGCAACAAAAAGAGAACATAGATAAATTGAGCTTCCTCAAAATTAAAAACTTTTATATATCAAAGGATACTCTGGGCTGGGTGCAGTGGCACATACCATAATCCCAGCACTTAGGGAGGCTGAGGAAGGAAAGTGGCTTGAAGCCAGTAGTTGGAAACCAGCCTGGGCAACATAGTAAGACCTCATTTCTACCAAAGGAAAAAAAGAATTAGTTGGGAATGGTACTGTACACTTGCAGACTCATTTACTCAGGAAGATCACTTGAGACCAGAAGCTGGAGTCTGCAGTGAGCTACAATCACACATTCCAGCCATGGGCAACAGAGACAACCCAGCTCTACAAAAATAAAAATAATTATAATAACAAAGGATACTATGAAGAAAATAAAAAGACAATTGACAGAGTGTACTGTCTGTAAATCATATATCTGATAAGGATTCTGATAGTATCCAGAATATATAAAGAAATACAATTCAACAACAAAAAGAAAAACAGTCAATTAAAAAATAGGCAAGGTCTATGTTAACCAGTTTGATGAAAATATTTCAAATTGTATATAAAACCAGCACAAAAAAAAAAAAACCCCAGCACATTGCACCCCATGATTGCATTAATATACACAGCTATGATTTAATTTTTTAAAAATAGGCAAGTTACTTGAACAGACATTTCTCCAAAGAAGGTATACAAATGGCCAACAAGCCCATGGAAAGAGGCTCAACATCATTAGTACATCACTAGTCATTTGCAGAAATGAAGATGAAAACCACAACTACATTCTATTTCATGCCCAGTAGGATGGCAGTAATAGTAATAATCAGAACATAGCCGGGCACAATGGATGGCTCACACCTGTAATCCCAGCTCTTGAGGCTAAGACGAGTGGATTGCCTGAGCTCACAGGTTCCAGACCAGCCTGAGCCAGAGCAAGACTCCATCTCTAAAAAATAGCTGGGTGTTGTGGTGTGCACCTGTAGTCCTAGCTACTTGGGAGGCTAAGGCAAGAGAATCGCTTGAGCCCAAGGGTTTGAGGTTCCTGTGAGCTACGATGCCACAGCATGCTACTAAGGGCAACAAAGTGAGACTCTGTCTCAAAAAAAAAGGAAAGAAAGAAAGAAAAAGTGGTGCCCATGGCTCAAAAGGGTAGGGCGCTGGTCCCATATGCTGGAGGTGGTGGGTTCAAACCCAACCCTGGCCCTTCAAAAAAAAATCCACAGCAAATTGTTCTCTGACTGTGAAAGGGAGGTCACTTGGATCTGCAAATGACTGACTTGCTGTTTTGGGTCAGCATTTTCATTTTTTTCTTTTTTTTTTTTTTTTTT